TGGAAATGTTAGAAAAGTTTTGAACGATCCCATATTTCTAAACATTCTTGATCGAAGCATTTTTGCCGTTTCTGGTGTGTTTGTATCTAGTGAAATAAGGACGCTAATGCACCATAGATAAAACGTTTTTCTTTCGAGCCAGATACATTCCTTAGGAGAACGCTGTTCTGATCCATTTCATTTTTTATAACTTAACGGGGGAACAGAACGAACTCTTCGAAGTGATCGCTGCAAATCTGCCGTTCCAGTCGTTTACGGACCAACCAGCCGCAGTTGATCGCACTCTGGTCACGTAGACAAATTCAGAAGTTTCCATAGGCGAATCTTTTTCTGGGAGAAAGACAAAGAAAGATAAACTTCTCACTGAATTGCTCTGCGGTGATGACAATTTTCAGGCCAGCATTACTCTTCTGCATGACTTTACTCGCACATGTAAATTGCTTATGTGAAACTTAACTGTTGAACTTTGACCTTCACATCTCAAACCCATTGTTAATCCTCTATCAGGACGCAGTACTGGAAATCAATGGCAATATCGATCCGGCTCTAATTCAGTTTCGCGCTCTTGCCTCTTGCCTGACTTGTCACGTGATTTAGCGTATGGATGCACTCGGGAAGGGTTAAAGTGTTTGAACCACTAGGTTGTAACTCTTGCTTGGTTTGGTCTTCGGTCTAAAAGTTAATTTGCTGAATACAACTCCACGGTACACATTTTTTTGTTTTGCTTTATTGTATTCCCTTAAATGATGAGAATCTTAGCAACCATTCTTATTCTATGAACTGTTTTATCTCCTGATCTTTGCAAAATAAGCAGAGTTGTCGCAGATAACGCTAAGCGGATTGGGTTTTTCAATTAGACTCTAGTTGTGTGGATTATCAATCTACTGCGTTTATGAGCAACGAATTGATTCACTTGGATAGGGGTCTGAAGCTGTTCACACCCACAGGCACACTATCCCTTTTCCTCCACCCGTGGCGACTGCGCTTATCGAGCGCCTGATACACATTGATGTTATGCGATATTTTTCCATCCAGAACATTGTCACTTAGGTGTTGCTCCAAAGTTGTACCGAAATCCAATCGGCCTTTACTCGGTACTTCTTTACAGATTGATGTGCAATATAATTCCGTACATCCTGCCTGTCCCCCTACACATCATTTGGTCCCCCTACACAACCAGGAACATAGTATACCTTCAAGTGAACCAGGATCAATCTATGCATTATAGTTGGAATATTTGCGGTAGAATCATGGACACTGTTTATTGTCCCAGCGAACTGTTAGCAATCTGGGGACTTCATTTGTGCAATTCTTTGTTGAACGCTTTATCCTTTGCCCATTATAGAGTTCACCGAGTGATAAACATTGTTCTCCTAGCTAGAGAAGCAAAAACAAACGTTCAATCCTTTTCTGGCTGCATTTTCGTCACACAAAAACATTCGGCACTTCACGTTAGACGGGAATGGATGGGAGGGCACAGATTTGTCCATTCCGAAACCGAGCAAATATTTGCATCATGGAAGTGTTGTTTACATGCTTGGTTTCGTTTGCATCAAACAAATAATTTTCATCGAAGTTCATTGCAAAAAGGAGAAGAGACTGATCACTCAAATCACGATGCACAAATCCTGTTTGTTTGACTCTCAGCATTTCCTCGCTCCGTTCCAGCCCCGTTCAACATAAGCTACATCCGAGCTCGCGAACACGGTGTGTCTTTACTGTCCCTTCCTCGTGCTGGTCGTTCTGACCCTATGGCGTTTTTGCTTTTAATGAGAAAAATGAACAAAGAATAAGTTAATTTACTGCTAGATTATTTGAATAGTGCAACACATCGTTCATCTCCAGTCACCTGAAAAGATTAGCAAACTGTGATCATAAATGCAATAGTTACTAACACAATAGTTACAATTCATAGGCTGGTTGAGATTTCAATCTATCGATCGCTGCAAATTGGGAGAAATTACCTCGTTTATGCAAGATTGCAGTAGATAGAGGAGCAACGTTTATTCAGAAAATGGTAAAATGCTCCCGCCTAACTGTGCTCGACCATCGCAAATCCAGTTAAACAAGCTCCAGTCACCCACAGCACTTTGAATCACTCCAAAGTCCGGGTTGGAATGATATACGACCAACAGTATTTGCTAAAACAACTGGTTTTGTACCAAAAGTCGTCCAAATCCTTTTCCCAGAAAATAATATTGAGTAATAATTTCAGACGGGGACTGTTTGGGTTAGCCCATTTGGTTTTTCACGGGAACCATACACGGCTGATGATCCAAACATTGCCCGTCGAAATTGATTGAGTCATTCGCACGAGGTGATGACTGTCGGCCGTGTAGCTCACGGGTAACGGTTTGAAATCCCAACCCGAAGGTTCAGGGTTCAAGTACTGACAGGGACACTAAAAGTACGCACTACTGACGAGTCCCATACAGGACGAGACAGCTGTCCAGTGCTCTTTATCGGTCATCACAAAGATTTCCATCGCACTTAATTTGAGTAATACACTCCAGTATAATGATGCACCGCCAAACTCGGGTTCCAAATGAGTTCATTCAAATAGGTTCCCAGCGAATTATGCTAAGAGGGCTCTTATTTTACAAATCTGTTCGAACCGATAGACAACAGAAGAAATGCACAATTCATTAGTAGCTCGAATGATTTTAGCAATCTTTAACCAATCGGTAAGTACCGAAACATTTAACGTTGGAGAGATTTAGAATTTTTCAAAACGTTTCCCTTCTGTATATCGATCGAATCATGCCACATCGTACAAGAGTGCATAAAGCAACCGGAAGTAAAACTGTTGTATTCCTGATATTAAATACTTAATTAACATTTGAAAATGTCATCTCGGGTTTATTAGGGACATAATTGGCGAGTAATTAGTTTCGAGATGTGGGCACCAGACCTGCGGGCCAATACAAACTACTTAAACACGGCCACTATGATTCATAATGTCTGTTCAGTTATCCCCGGTGATTCGGAATTCGGTTCGTGGATGCAAATAATTCCCGAGTAGACTGAAAATACTGATAGCTTATGGTGGCAAAGAAGTATTTGAAGACTGTGTGGACATTAGAAAAACAGAGGACTTGTCTGAATGGGAACACAACTACCCATTACATATGTCAGACGTGGTTGATGACACCACGAGAGGGTGACTGACTTGATGGGTGTATAGTTCTTGGCAGATCACTGTTACGATGTGAAATGTAAGGGACAAAATCGATGAAATACATTCAATCTCTTGCTATTGTAACGATAAGGCGAGTTAGCTGGCAAAACGTTTATTGATGCAATTCAAAAACAACCAGTGTATGCGTTCAATTATTTACAATCAGTTCTTAACCACGCGGCAGGATGATTCACGCCTGATTCTGTTGGTCAATCCCTGTTGGTTTTGGTCCGCACTTATCACGTACGTTGCCTCTTCTTCCGCGTGCCGTTTCGACTGG